ACGTACTCTTGTTACACTTCCAGTAAGGTACATACATGTCTAACACGTACTCTCGTTGCACTTCCAGTAAGGTACAGACATGTCTAACACGTACTCTCGTTACACTTCCAGTAAGGTACAAACATGTCTAACACGTACTCTTGTTACACTCCAGTAAGGTACATAAAATGTCTAACACGTACTCTCGTTGCACTTCCAGTAAGGTACAGACATGCCTAACACGTACTCTCGTTACACTTCCAGTAAGGTACAGACATGTCTAACACGTACTCTTGTTACACTTCCAGTAAGGTACATACATGTCTAACACGTACTCTCGTTGCACTTCCAGTAAGGTACAGACATGTCTAACACGTACTCTCGTTACACTTCCAGTAAGGTACAGACATGTCTAACACGTACTCTTGTTACACTTCCAGTAAGGTACATACATGTCTAACACGTACTCTCGTTGCACTTCCAGTAAGGTACAGACATGTCTAACACGTACTCTCGTTACACTTCCAGTAAGGTACAGACATGTCTAACACGTACTCTTGTTACACTTCCAGTACGGTACAGACATGTCTAACACGTACTCTTGTTACACTTCCAGTAAGGTACAGACATGTCTAGCACGTACTCTTGTTACACTTCCAGTAAGGTACAGACATGTCTAGCACGTACTCTTGTTACACTTCCAGTACGGTACAGACATGTCTAACACGTACTCTTGTTACACTTCCAGTAAGGTACAGACATGTCTAACACGTACTCTTGTTACACTTCCAGTAAGGTACGGACATGTCTAACACGTACTCGTGTTACACTTCCAGTAAGGTACAGACATGTCTAGCACGTACTCTTGTTACACTTCCAGTAAGGTACAGACATGTCTAACACGTACTCTTGTTACACTTCCAGTAAGGTACAGACATGTCTAACACGTACTCTTGTTACACTTCCAGTAAGGTACAGACATGTCTAACACGTACTCTTGTTGCACTTCCAGTAAGGTACAGACATGTCAAAACACGTACTCTTGTTACACTTCCAGTAAGGTACAGACATGTCTAACACGTACTCTTGTTACACTTCCAGTAAGGTACAGACATGTCTAACACGTACTCTTGTTACACTTCCAGTAAGGTACAGACATGTCTAACACGTACTCTTGTTACACTTCCAGTAAGGTACAGACATGTCTAACACGTACTCTTGTTACACTTCCAGTAAGGTACAGACATGTCTAACACGTACTCTTGTTACACTTCCAGTAAGGTAAAAAATAATAGACATACTTTTACTGTTGAGTGAAAGAAGGACTTTTGAAACAAAAGATGCGAACACTGATATGATTTTTATTCCTTGAACCTCACATTAATAAAAACTAGAGTGGATATGGTCATAACGTAAACTATATTCATGGTATGTAGACACGATCATTCTCAGTGCGAATGTAAAAAAATGAAGTATCTTAGAGAGCTAAGTAGAGTCGTTGGTAAATGTTATACGTAGTTTAAAAATGTGTATGTATATGTATATATATATTTATATGTGTATATATGTATATATATATATATATAAATATATATATATATATATATATATATATATATATATATATATATATAAAATATATATATATAATATATATAAAAATATATATAATAATATATATATATAATATATATATATAATATAATATATATATATATATATATATATATAAATATATATATATATATATTTGTTAGAGAAGAAATATCATTTTAGGTGAGAGAATAAATGGTGGATCAATATAACTGGAATTCAGTCAACTCAAATAAAACAATGAATTCACCATTAAACAAATTCTTAGTACTGAAGTCTAAGCAATTTGAGCATAACTGTGCTCGTGTATTAACTAATATGCTTATTCTATATAAATAAGACACGAAATGCCGGTTACGACATTTTATTGTGAAGCTGTTCCGGCCACCAGGGACTCACTTCACGCAGAGAACAAGACGTGAGTATTGAGATGGACTGTAGAAAGGTACTGAGGTGAATGAATGAGGTAATATAGTCGCATGCAATAATAGCAGACTAACAATACCAGATGTAAAACAACCATAGGAAGTGTTGAATAAAAGATCAACTTTCCCTGTCGTTGTCTTGAATAGCCTCATGTGAGTAGCCATCCGGGTAAGTGAGGTTAGGTGATCGCAGTGTCAATACGGCACTGGGAGAACAAGCCTAGCTATGATTTCTGAGATTATGAATGATCCTGAATTCTGACTGATGTTATTCACTCTGGAGATCATCTCAACAGAATCAAGGACATACTTGATTTCGAAGTGACATTCTTGTCCACTGAGGTGGCAACCACTCATGATTGTCTAAATTTATATCTACCCACACAAGATTTCATTGATGTTAATGGATTATGTATCAATTACAAATATTCATCGTTTAAAGACGCCATAAATAAGTACTCTTTCGACATGGCCATGGGCTCACCACTTACTGTTGTCATGGCCACCTTATACATGCAGCATATGAAGGAAAAGAAACCATAAATTCTCATCCCAGAAGGTGTAACACAGCTAAGATATATCGACGAAATCTTAAACGTTATTCCCCGACGCCTCAACACCAGAATCTAAACAATAGTTCAGTGGAATCTTCCATTAAGTTCACTGCAGAAAAACAAGAACTGGCAGATTCCCTTCCTAGATGTATTGATACGAAAATGTGGCGATAAACTTGATTTCAAAGTCTACCGAAAACTGACAAATACAAAGGATCTACATTATTTTTCACACCACGACGATAGAATCAAGAGTGGGATGATGGTTGGAGTCTTCTTAAGAGCACAGAGAATATCTTTCACTGCCGTATCACTCCAACAAGAGTGTAATTATATCAATCAAGTTTTCAGTGAACTTCAATACCCACAATATATCATCCTACTGAACTTGAACTACCACACAACACCCAGCAGATACACTGCACTCCTCTACCACACAACACCCAGCAGATACACTGCACTCCTCTACCACACAACACCCAGCTGATACACTGCACTCCTCTACCACACAACACCCAGCAGATACACTGCACTCCTCTACCACACAACACCCAGCAGATACACTGCACTCCTCTACCACACAACACCCAGCAGATACACTGCACTCCTCTACCACACAACACCCAGCAGATACACTGCACTCCTCTACTACACAACACCCAGCTGATATACTGCACTCCTCTACCACACAACACCCAGCAGATACACTGCACTCCTCTACCACACAACACCCAGCTGATATACTGCACTCCTCTACCACACAACACCCAGCAGATACACTGCACTCCTCTACCACACAACACCCAGCAGATACACTGCACTCCTCTACCACACAACACCCAGCAGATACACTGCACTCCTCTACCACACAACACCCAGCAGATACACTGCACTCCTCTATCACACAACCCAGCAGATATACTGCACTCCTCTACCACACAACATCCAGCAGATACACTGCACTCCTCTACCACACAACACCCATCATATATACTGCACTCTACCACACAACACCCAGCAGATATACTGCACTCCTCTACCACACAACATCCAGCAGATATACTGCACTCCTCTACCACACAACACCCATCATATATACTGCACTCTACCACACAACACCCAGCAGATACACTGCACTCCTCTACCACACAACACTCAGCAGATATACTGCACTCTAACCACACAACACCCAGCAGATACACTGCACTCCTCTACCACACAACACTCAGCAGATATACTGCACTCCTCTACCACACAACACCCAGCAGATACACTGCACTCCTCTACCACACAACAAATCAGCAGATATACTGCACTCCTCTACCACACAACACCCAGCAGATATACTGCACTCCTGTACCACACAACACCCAGCAGATATACTGCACTCCTCTACCACACAACACCCAGCAGATATACTGCACTCCTCTACCACACAACACCCAGCAGATATACTGCACTCCTCTACCACACAACACCCAGCAGATATACTGCACTCCTCTACCACACAACACCCAGCAGATATACTGCACTCCTCTACCACACAACACCCAGCAGATATACTGCACTCCTCTACCACACAACACCCAGCAGATATACTGCACTCCTCTACCACACAACACCCAGCAGATATACTGCACTCCTCTACCACACAACACTCAACAACCTTCCTAATAGAGCTAACATTAAAAGTCCACAACATTTCTTCTAAAACCATAAAATGCTTAGTTAAGAAAAGGAAGTCTATGAACCCCAGTGCTGGTATTTACACTATAACTTGTGTAGGTTGTGAATAATTTATGTCGGTGAACTCTCCGTAGAAGTAGGTACCAGGATTGAAGAACATATAACGCCTGCCGAAGCTACAGCACTGACAATGGACGCACTTTACACAGAAACTCCGACAACTACCTCACGAACTACCCAGAAGCTATACTTATCATCTAAGAAAGTGACAGTCCCAGCAGATTATGTCTTGAGTCCACAGGTATAGTCACAATCAATAACATCTCAAAGTTCAGGATCATCCAGTTTATTCTCTCGGTGCACAAAGCTCCGACCATCTAACCTCACGCTGCTGGCTACACACTCTGACTGCATGACTTCATTCTTGTACCTCAGGACCTCTCTATGACCCATTTACATTCCCATGTAATGTTGTTGCCCGTTTGAATTGATCCAGTTTCTGGTGGTTAACTTGTTCACAATAAAATACCATAACCCACATTCTGTCTTTTTTGCATACTGTCAATATGGTCTATTATTGAATAACTGAGCCACAAGGTATGTCTGTATTTCTTAGTGTACATATAGCGAGTGTTTACTCACGTTTTTAGATACTTAAGTAACTTTGACTGGTGTACATGTGACATGTAGCAGACCTTCGTGTAATCGGTATGATTTAGATCTAATTAACCAAATAACTATGACTGTTTGTCCTCCCTGGCAGTTCCTCCACACGATCCTATCATCCTGACCGAGCAGGGAGGGCCTCCAGTCTGGACCATGGTAGGACCTTACAACGAGGGAGACTCCTTGTCTCTCACTTGTGAAGTCAATGGAGGTAAGAATAAAAATGAATTCGGTCATTGTCTCTCTCTCTCTCTCTCTCTCTCTCTCTCTCTCTCTCTCTCTCTCTCTCTCTCTCTCTCATTGTGGTGGAGGTAAATAGATCTGACTCACGCCCTCGATCAGTGCCTAATAATCCTTTGGGTTAGTAAGGTAGTAGACTTAAATCCTTGAAGATTTCAGGCTCTTGAGTTTCGGGCTCGAATTGCGTATTATAAACCCTAAATCATTACTTAATGGAGAGTTGGACGAGTAGGAACGTATTAACTTTCTTAATAGACTTATAAAACAAGGTAAGATATTGGTAGCATTTTCAGCAGTTTTTGAAGCACTTGTATATATCGACGTCTTTCATGTCAGTGCGAAAAAAACTGCCAGTTTTGATCCATATAGAGGCATGGAATCGTGGAATTGGTTTTAAGGGTTTAATCAGGTCTGAAATTATTTTTCACATGCATGAAATCTCGGATAATTGATAAGTGACTATCCAGAACGAAGATGGACAGTAATTCCTGGCAGAGGATGAACAAGAGAAGAAATGGCATTGAAACTATCTTGTAATTGATGTATATTTGCTTATTGTAGTTTAGCCCACAGTCAGTGAGGGCATTTAAGCAGCTACCAACAAAAGTGAGTCTTCTGGTGTTGTGTAAAGGTGTTCCAGATGGTCCACGAACACACACGAACTTGGATTCTGACTTACGTGACTTTATTTGATCAAATCTATATCTGAATATTTAAAGCCTATCAAATAGGCTAGCAAATAAAAATGAAAATAGCTTATCTGTTTTCCTTCTATCAAAAAAAATATGATTACTATTTCTTAATTTCTAAAGACAGAAAGTCAGTATTTCCTGGAAAGCCTCTAAAGAGTTGAAGAATTTTGAGCACTTATTAAGACACGCAATAAAAAGAGATGCATGCAATGTCACTGAGCAAATGTTGTGAGCTGAGGAAAGTCATCTGGGTTACGTACACCGGGGCTTTCAAGAACATGAAGGAGAATACTGAATACTCCACTCTGAGGTTGAGGGACGAGACCGTAGTGTCACAGTTGGTGCTGCTGGTACATGTGTCACAGTTGGTGCTGCTGGTGCAACCATGGCACAGTTGGTGCTGTTGGGATAACTGTGTCACATTTGGTGATACTGGTGCAACCATGTCACAGTTGGTACAACTACACAGTTGGTGCTGCTGGTACAACCACGTCACAGATGGTGCTGCTGGTATAACCATGTCACAGTTGGTGCTGCTGGTACAACCATGGCACAGCTGGTGTTGCTGGCACAACCACATCACAGTTGGTGCTACTGGTACAACCATGTTATGAAAGTCCCTGTTTTAAAATTAACCTATTGTAAGTTGTGTGGTTGAGCAGAAACAGGGCTGGGTCGAGCAAATACATGGACCACATTGCTACTAATTATCTTGGTTTTCGTTTTGACTATTTGTATATCAGAAGTTCGCTTATTTTGTAAGTTTGTTGCGTATACAAATATAGTTTGTTTTTCAGCTTCAGTTGTTGCTGTCTCCTGACAGGTCGTCCTCCTCCCCGGGTCACCTGGTGGATGAAAGGAGAAATGATTGACGACTCATACGAGACACCTCACCCTCACACAGTCATCAATACACTCACCTTGAGAGAATTAACCCGTGCACACCTTCACACCGTCCTGGTGTGCCGAGCCTCCAACAGCAATCACACTACCCACGTCCACACTTCCATCACTATAGAGATGAACTGTAAGTACCAATTAGGGTTTGTATTTATGCGAGGCACTATACTAATCTGGGGTCACCTGTAGTGGATACCAACCTGGCTAGTTTTTTCCTTGATGGGATCTGGGTAGTTGTAATTTCTCTCCTATGCCAAGTTGCAAGTAAAACAACACTGGAAATAAAGTGCGAAAACCTTACGAGAGACTTTTGACTCAGCTGTCGTTGCCCTTTGTAAAGTGCAACTGTAGACTGACCTGCGGAGGAGGTAGACAGACTAGCTGATTCTGAGGATGAATCAGTAGGAAAGCTATCGGAAGCGAGACTACTGGGCAAATATTGGTAACAACAGGCTGAAGGTAGTGGGGAAATTTCCCTTGTCTTGATGTTGTCAGTATGTTTAAAAGGATAACAGAGAATAAGCGGTCAGTAGGTGAATTGTGAGGGCAAGGAAACAAAACCTGATGGACGGGTCTGTAAGTCCTGCTAGCGGAAATGTTTTCTGTCTTCCGGGTTTCGAGCACAGGTCCTTCATTGTGTGAGCTGATGGCACAGGCAATTGAGACACGAGCGCTTTCCCTCTCTTATCACAAGAGAAAGGATGACATCGTCCTGTGCTCTGTTACATGGGCGTCACACCAACCAGTATGTTGGGAGAGATGGATGAGAGTAAGCGCGCGATTCGCTCTCAGGACCTCGCCCTGTGCAGTTGCAGTAGCTCTGACAATCATCTTTCCAGTCTCCCTACGTACCCCGTTGGGGAGGGGAACTTATATCTATCTCCAAGTGACTCTACTCGTCCACGATGTCTCATCATGTGAATATAAAACCCAAAAGCTCTGTCGTCAACGATGCCTCAAAGTTTGAACTTACGGCTGCCCAAAAAAACTGTCTGCAGGTCAAGTTCTCAGGCACTGCATCAATGAAAGAAGCGTTCCTCGTCACTTTCATTAATGATGAGGAGGCTGAAAAAGTCCTTACACCAAGTGCGATGAAGACCCTTGACGAACGTGGCTTTGTTATCTCCACTTGTCCCTACTTCAGGGCTAGAAGATCATTGTTCTTGAAACGTCTTGACAGGATCATCACGGTCCTGTCCACTGTCAAGTCTTCCACTGAGGAGCAGAATGACTGGGCCACGGTAGAAATATCACAAAGATATCCAACGTCTCATCAATGCTTAAGGTCACGTTTCTTGACACCACTATGGCCGCCAGAGCCCTGTCAGACGGCCTGGTTATCTCTTATTATTACATCAACCTGAGACAGATCAAGCCAGAACGCTTCAAATAAATGTCTCCTTATTGGACTTGCTACTTTTACCACCACTCCACCACCGACTGCCACGTTAAGGATAAGATCTGCTCCACTTGTGGGAATGATGGCCATGATTATCGAACCTGTATATCCACTACTGCACCTACATGCATCAACTGCAAGAGTGACCATCACACACTAGCAGCAAAATGTCTCGTCCGAAAGATCTTATCTAAGAAAATTGAAGACCTAAAGAAGACGACCGTAAATTCCACAACTTATGCTGCTATAACAAAGCTCCAGACGGACACTACTAAGATCCTGCAAGCCACTCGACAGACATCACTAACCAGATGGTGTTTCCACACAAATTTACTATTGCATGTTGTTTCTTCACTTGCAAAACGTAGCTGTCACTGGATCTTTTAACAAGTTCATTAATGAACTCTTTTCAGTGAACAACATGACAACCTTCAACTTCCCAGAATGTCCTCCTTCAGAGATTATTCTGAAGTTTACACCAAAAATCGTCAGCTTCACAGCACCTGACAACTTACAAGACTTGATTCTTGAAGAATACAACTGTACGACTCCAGAACCCACCAATGAGAGGACACCAGTTATTCCCATCAATGAGAATACACCAGTTATTCCCACCAATGAGGAACTACCATCGACTTCCACCACCATTCTACTACTGACGAATCAGTTCCTTCATCTCCATTACACCCACCAAAATCCAAGAGAACCAAAATACAACCGCCTGAAATTTCACCTCAAACTTCTTCATTGCCTGAAGAAATGGAAGAAGACAGAAAAATTAGAACAAGTGAACTTATCACTTTATACACGAATAAACACCATGGAACTGTCAAGTACAATGTTGCTCCTGGTTGCGAACATCACACTGAACATGCCCTACTAGAGGACCTAGATGCCGACTTCACACACCTGGTCAAGATTACCCTCTTATCAAAATCTGCATACAAAAGACTTCAAAACTACTCCACGACTGGAAAATGGAACTAATATGGACACATCTACGAAGAAATATCACCCACCAATCACGACGTAACTGCCACCTCTTTTCAACTTGAAAGACCAATCACCTCGAAGTTTTGCCTCCCTTTCCATCACGCTTTCCTGCCGATCTCTAGCCACCAATCACCTTCCAGATCAAGATATGCCCACAGTTCAAGATGCAACTTTCTCTGCCGAGAAGAGATACATAGTCCTCCCCACCAACTCCATTTCCAAACACGTTTCCAACATCTTCTCCAAAACCTATTCCAAGTATCTACTTCCACATCCACCACCATCAAGGACATTACCAGTGATAGACAAGACAAGCTTCAATCCTCTGCAGGGGTATACACAATCCCTTGTAATGACTGCAGCAAATTATACGTCGGCGAAACATCCAGAGACCTCCAAACACGCATTTCTGAACACCAGTACTCAGACAAAACTGACGATCCAAGGAATGCCTGTGTTCAACACCGAAATTCACACAACCATTTAATCAACTACAGAAACACAAGACTTATCGCCAGAGAAGACAACACTCAATACCGAAGAATCCTGGAATCATCACTTATCTGTACATCCAACAACTTCAACCAGAGCAACGGCTTCTATAACACAGCTGAGCCCCTTGCCAAGAAACTTCTTGTTTGCTATCCCACATAAGAACATACGAATCGAGAAACACTGCAGAAGATCAACTCATGTACTTATCCAATCTCTTTTAAAAGCTACCCAAGTTTTTAGACTTCTTCACTCTACTCCGAAGATTCTCCACCTGACCCAGCAATCCCATCCTATATATAGCCACGTATGTTTCACCCAGGTAGATCTGTTTGTGACTTGATAAAACCCACTGCGAAACCTTGTCAATAAATGATCACATTATACTGGTTAAGTGTTTATATTTCCATTGTGTCGGTATTTTATACCATTTATTTGCAACCTGCACAGCTTGGTCCTCATGTCTTCTACATCACTAGCCACACCTGATTCTCCAGTCTATCCTACGAGCGCCCAGCTGCTGGGTTAAGCCCCTGGCTCTGTTTCTACGACTATGGAGACTCCTCTCCAGCGTTATTCTTCGCCTGTCCCAACTTCCCCGCTCACCCCAATAATTGATTGATTGATTAAGCAAGCACAGGAGTGCAATGGACAAGTGAAGCAGTAGCAGCAGCTACACACACAGTAGGAGGCATTCTTGAGCTTCCCCAACGCTCGGGCTTCGGCCCAAAGCTGAGGTGTGGCTCCAAACGGATCCTATAGTGCTTGCTGTCTTTGCACCTCCTCACATCGTCTGCTGCTATGCAGCTGCCACACCCTTCGAGCCAAGTGTTGGAGGGGGAATGGGGCTAGGCCTGGGGACAGCTGGTCCCAGAAGATGAGGAGGTACTTGTACCTCCTCCCATGACAGACATTGGTCTGAGACATTCCCTCGACATGGAGCCAAGGCCGGGCCACCTCTTGGAAAAGGCCAGCGCCGGGCGATTTTACCGGCGAATCTAGAACAACAGCAGAGAGCAAGCGTACACGAGAGAGCTGAGAGGACACACAGTGGGGTCCAGTGAACAGTACATCACGGAAAAGTTCATCAAACCTTATGTAAGAAAGGTTGGAATTGCAAGTCCTGTCAACAGAGAGGCTACGTCTTTTCCCGGCAACCGAACCACATTTTACTACAGAAATTTTTGAATTTTTGATTTGGTAAAAATTTTATCTTGTTTATTTCTTAACATAAAGTCTTGCATCAGAACCCGAAAGCTTCCAATATATTATTCTTAAGTCAAATTAGAATTATTTTGAATTTGAGAAGGTAAATCTACATTATTTTAGTTGGATTGGGATAGATTAGGTTTCTTAAACCTTTAGAAACTTATGTTTACCTACTAAAAAAAAGGTGTTAAAAAAACACTGACAACGAGGTGGCCAAGAAAAAAAGTAGGCAGTGTATAAATCTGAACACTAATTATTAGTGATGCAACCCCGGGCAGCCCCTGAGGTACCTGGAGGTACCTGAAGTCCAATTGGAGGTAGTTCCGCTGGTCAACACCTCCACGTTCCGGTCCAGGACAGGCCTTATTGTGGATCAGGGCCTGATCAGTGAGGCTGTTATTGCTGGCCGCACGTAAACCGACAAGCCAACCATTGTCACTGACTTTAAGTGCCTGTTCAGTTCCCTCTCGAAGACAGCTAGGGGTCTATTGTTAATCCCTTTCTGAATGATAGGAGGCTGTTAAACAGCTTTGGACCCCTGACACTTACCATGTTTTCTCTGTGTAGTCACGGAACCCTTGCTTTTCATTGGGGGATGTTGCACTGTCTTCCAAGTCCTTATGTACTCGACACTACCATGACCTAGCTCAGAGAAGATACTCAAAGCGTGGGTCCACACTCAAGGCTGGCAATACGGTACACAACAGTACGGTACAGTACAGTTTTATTTCGTTTATCGTGCCTGTCAGAAATACTGCACCTTAATTTCCTACCGTACGTTTTAACAAAAAAAAAATCAACCCTGTCGTACCGCTCTGCCGGCCTTTCGTCCAGTGAGTAGCATTTAGAAAGGAGTCCGTGAAGTGTGTTGGAACAAAAGTTACCATTCCTGTTACCAGAGAGAGATGTCCTCTGTAGTGTCGTATCTTGTCCTGACCAATTCAGTGGTGCACAACGACCAGTTGAGGTGGTGCCATATCCTTGGTCACTGTTCATGGGTTGGAATGGAAGGGGAGAAGATTGACGAGGTCTAG